TCAACCAGTCGTCATCAGATGGGAGCTCTGAGATGCAGCCATCAGCTTAGCACCGAGCTTGCAAGCATCAGCCAGCCACAATAACATCACGCTCATGGCAATAGCGAAGGCTTGTACCAACACCCTGCATCGTGCCCAGCTCCCATGGGTGCTCATTCCCTTTAACTGAGGCTCTGCCAAGCACCTGCTAGACACAAAGTCAAGTCAGGGTGCATTGATGAACTCTCTAAACACACGCAGAAACTTTTGGGCAGTGGCAGCACACTCGTTGCTGGGGAAGGATATAGGGAACTGCAGGTAAGCTGAGAAAGGAGAAGGCTTTGCACGCAAGAGTTAAACAGCACATAGATTAGATCTCATCACTTGAGATTTCCAGGAAAAGTATTGTGTTGCTATGGAAACCTCAACATAACCTGGGTTTTCCCTCCTTTTGTTTGCAGGGACTTCATTACCTACAAACATTGGCATCTCCCAGTCTCCTCCAGCAGGCCCTGCGGCACGCAAAAATTACTCTTCCCCACGTCCAGTTTTCTTTGCAAGCCCTATCATCAGTATATTCTGCACCATCACTGTTGCAACCTGCAAACTCTGCATTTGCAATAAGTGTTGTACAATTCGCTACCCAACAGGAGCACTTAAAAGTCCTTGCTCTACTTCTGCTTTGGGAGCCAGGGAAAAAAGCCTAGTGGTAATAAAACTGAGCCTTCCTGGGCTTCATTCAAGGAGAAGCCACATCTACAACCCCCCCTCTCCCAGCGTGAGGGATGTGAACCTAGTGATCATGTTTTAGCATCTGCAAGGACCTGTCCCACTTTAGGCATTGCAGGTGCTACCTTCCAGGTTGCAATGACTCTGCCCATAAGTTTCCCATGTAGAAAATGGGGCCAAACTTAACTGGCAACATACGATCCCTAGAAATGGACTTAGCGTTTGCAGTAGGGTCAGGCAACCACATCAAAGCAAGGAACACAAGGTTGGGTAGATTCTTATCAAGGGAAATACCTGATGAGAAGTCACATTGCTAGCACATACTTGCAAAGAATTGCGTAAAGGCAGTGAAATCAGTCACAGCTTAAAAGGGCTATTGCAACTTACCTGTCATTCTGCCTCTTTTGAGCTGACAGCACCTTATGGCAGAGAGCATCTCAGACCATTATAGCTACATAACACAGAGTGAGCCAACCCTGATTCTGGTTCATAGGTACCACAGAAGCAGAAATGACATAAGGTGGTAAACAAAGCATGGGGGAGCCTGATCCAATCCTCCAAATCTCACACAAGAGCTAAAGACTTGGTCTCCACCTTGCAAGACATCAAAAGTTCTTAAAAAGTAAAGGAGTTTTCCCATTTTAGCTCTAAAAAACCAAGTGGGTATTCAAACTGGGAAGTGACCGCTACACATAGGCTTTATTTCGTCCTTTCTCCAGACCAGCTCTTCTTTCGGCAGCAGAAAGGGCCGATCCTCAGATGCAAGCACCGGTCCTTACCCGCTCAGTGCACCGAGCCGCCCCGCACACTCAGCCACTCCTCCCCAGCTTCCCTGGCGGAGCGGAACGGAACGGCGCTCCCTGCGCCGACAGCGCCACCACGCGGCCGAGCGCCGCACAGCAGCCAGAGCAGCTACGGGAGCCCTGCTGGGTACTGCCCCAACACCGCCCTGCTCGCCCTGGCCGAAGAAATCATTTCCAGCAACAAATATACACACGCGCTATTCTAAAGCGACAGAATCAGGCTGCCCATCTCACTTGTACTGCTTTTTCTACCTGCAAAGAAAGCAAACCTGGTTTTAGTTCTTCAAGAGATCGGAACAAACTCATGTTCTCCCTCTAAATGCATCCAAGGAGATATCTACCTTCCTTTCTAATAGCTGGTGGCATGCATCAAAGACACTCACAAATAACAGGAGCTTCAAGCAGCCCAAATACATATATATTCTGAGTATTATTTTCTCCTACAAGCTCAGACGTGCATTTTCACCTCTGTGTTCACATACAGCACTCTGTCAGTAGTGCAGCAGTATTTCAGCTTGGCTGATCTACTCCATACCCTCTCATCAACTCAACAGTCCACTGGAAAGATCCCTTCTTCCTTCAAATTTTACAGTTTAGCAAACACATCTATGATGAAAGTAAAGTATACTTCAATCCAGCATTACGGGAGAGGGCACATATCCTGATGTACAGATTTATAATATCAGCAGGCTCCCTTCTTTCAAGGAGAGGACCTGTAGGGAGCAACAGACAGACTTCTATGGAGAAAGGAGCAAAGTAGTGTAAGAAAGAAGGGTGAACTGGGAAAGAGAGCAACAGTAACAGTAAAGACAGCAGCATCACTTAAGTTGAGAACTTTGCTGAGAGGGCTGCAACAAACCATTCCTGTCCAGGCAGACAGCCAGAATTACTCAGTGCTATATTCACCAGGTAGGAGATACTGTACATACATTGCCAGACTACCAGGCACTCATATGGAACAAACATGTCCAAGTTACACATTGTTTACAAGGTTGGAAGTCAAGAAAACTCCAATGGTTCATGTTATACTTTGCACTCAATGTCTGGTGGCAAATATACACGTGCAGTCAGTATTTTTGTACTGGTAATGATTTCACCCTGAAGTAATTCACGTATTAGGGATAGGATGCCTGACAACTTAAGTCTATCTGAAGGATGAGCACAGGGAGCAGAGACAGCATCTCTTCAGAAGGCTGTTATAAGGCTGCTGTTTTAAAGAATTTGTTTCCTTGTTACTTACAAAATAATGTTAATAATTAAATGCATTTGAAGCTAGTGAGCAGAAAGTCCATTAGCCTAAGCTGTACAGTGCAATTTTGCTATGAGCTTTATGTAGCATATGAATTATGAATAAATATGTAGCATAGAATTGAAAAATACCAGTATATGAAATAGTGGAAGCTATGCTAAGGCACATGGAAGACAGGGAGGTGATTGGGGATAACCAGTGAGGCTGCACAAAGAGTAAATGTCCCTCTGCTCCCCACTGGCGAGGCTTCACCTTGAGTGCTGCATCCTGATGTGGAGTCCTCAGTATGGGAGAGATGTGGACCAGCTGGAGCACATCCAGAGAAGGGCCAAAAATGACCCAAGGGATGGAACACCTCCCTCTGAGGACAGGCTGAGAGCTGGGGCTGTTCAGCACGGAGAGGAAAAAGCTTCAGAGAAACTTGAGAGCAGCCTGTCAGTATCTACAGGGGCTGTAAGAAAGATGGGACGGACTCTTTAGCAGGGTCTGCTGTGATGGGACAAGGGGAAATGGTTTCAAACTAAAAGAGAGGAGATTTTGATTGCATATAAGGAGGAAGTTTATTACAATAAGAGCAGTGAGGTGGCACAGGATTCCTAGAGAGCTGTGGGTGCCATCCCTGCAAACATAAAGGTCAGGCTGGAGGGGCTCTGAGCACTGATGGAGCTGTGGGTGCCCCTGCTCCGTGCAGGGCAGGAGGACCAGACGGCCTTTAAGGATCCCTTTCAACTTGAAAGATTCTATGACTCTACTACAGTATATGTGGAAAAAAAAATCAAACTGCATATAAACAGTGTCATGCCAAGCTGAACAGCAGTTACTAATAGCCTGTTTTCACAAGCAGGCCATAGGGAAGGCTACGTAGGTCTCATTCCACTAAGTCTAACCTGTCCAGTTTCTTCTCAAGCTTCACAATACATTTGTCTCTTAAATTGCTTATTTTAAAAGACTACTATGAAATTTAAGAGTTCTGCAAGTTTGATTTAGGCCTTGGCAGAAGATTATAGGCATTTAGACAGATGTACTGCTAAAAGAAACAAGCAAAAAAGAAGATTTTTTGAATGTCACTGCCCTCTTGAGGGAAATTGAGTTGTAGTGCCTTAACAAAGCCATTCTTCCTGCACTGCTATTCAGGTCACACCAGAACTCCCCCCACTGCCTTACTGTATGGTTCAAGATGAGTATTAGCTCCTGAAAGGCAGCAGGTAGCTTCACAGCTGGGAATCACTTATCTCTGGCTAAAGCATAGCTTTGGTTATGTTTTGCTTATAGGTATTTTGGGGACAACTAGACAAGCCCCTCTGAAGCCACAAGAGTCTACTGAAAATCCATAAACTTGTCCCTGGAAACCAGTAGTTTTGTTTCTCCATGAATTGTAGCCTTTTATTTTACCCAACAGATGTTGTCAGAAAACCTCTGAGAGCAAGAACCAGAACATAGCAGTTACTCTGCCCTGCACATTTCTAATCTCTGAACTATACAGGCTTATTCACAGCCTGGTACAGCATTGATTTTCAACCTTTTGGCTTGCCTGGGCTGCAGTGAGTGAAGAGGATTTGTCTCAGGCTCTGTGTACAGCCTTGAATCCTCTCTTCTTTAAGAGTGGAAAACTCTAGTAGTACACATTCCTACAAATGTACAGAACAAGTTTTATTTTCCAATTGGAACACTTGACAGAGGGAGTTGAGAGAGTGGGGAGGAGAAGAAGCATAACATAGCAATAGGATTAAATATCCTTATATCAGCTATTTTAAAAATTGACAGTACTTGAAACAATTGAAAAGCATTCTCAAAACACTGTGGCAAACTAAGTGCCATCACAAGTTAAGCTACAGATATTCCTTTGGTTTGGGGGTTTGTCTGTTGTTTTGTTTTTTTAAAAGGACTGAACACCCAAACATGGACTTGAATTAACATATGTGAGGATCCAATACCACCAAGAGCAGAAACAAGTTCTAGCATCTAGTTAACACAACTGTAAATATGTTCTGTCGTGGCTTTTGAGAAAGCCGTTTTTTGCCTGGAATAACTCTCCATCTCACACAAAGCACAAGTTGCTGAGTTCAGATACGAAGATAAACAGAAGAGGAATACAAGTGAAGGCAGGTCTAAGAACTACTTCCAGGACTCTGAACTCTAAGCAGTCCCTTCTGCAGTTCAGCAATCTTATCTTCTCTTGAGGCTGCATAATTCTTTGCTGTCTTTATGAGAGAATCGTGACGCTTCTCCAATCCAGCCTTCAGGTTTTGGTATATCTCCTAGGAAGGTAAAATGAAACAAAAAACCACACACAACTCCATCAGAAAAGTTAAACCCTTATAAAGTTTAAAGCATAAGCCAGAGAGGTCTCATGCAATTTCAAAGTTATTGCTTCCTTGGTATACAGAATACAGGAAAGTTACAGAACCTCCTAAGACCAAGAGCAGCCACAAGCAAAATCCCAGTATTACCATCTGTTGTATGGCTCTGGTGCTCACAACACTAAGGTTGTCAAACAGCAGCACAATCTTCACACTGGTGCAGATTAACACAGAATGGAGCAGTATCACCAAGACCTCTGCCCTGCAGAGAAGGACCTAGGGGTGATGGATGGATGGATGAAAAACTTAACCTGAGCCAGCAGCGTGCTCTTGCAGCTTGGAAAGCAAATGGTATCCTGGGTTACCTCAGAAGAGGGGTGGCGAGCAGGGACAGGGAAGTGATTGGCCCTCTCTACTCTGCTCTTGTGAGGCCCCATCTGGAGTACTGTGTCCAGGTCTGGAGCCCCAGTACAAGAAAGACAGGGAGCTGTTGGAGAGGGTCCAGAGGAGGCCACAAAGATGATCAGGGACTGGAGCAGCTCCCCTGCAAAGACAGGCTGAGGGAGCTGGGCTTGTTCAGCCTGGAGAAAAGAAGGCTGCGGGGTGACCTCACTGCAGCCTTTCAGTACCTCAAGGGAGCCTACAAACAAGGGGAGTCAACTCTTTGAAAGGGCAGATAACTGCAGGATGAGGGGAAATGGTTTTAAGTTGAGGGAGGGGAGATTTAGGTTGGATGTCAGGGGGAAGTTCTTTACCATGAGAGTGGTGAAGTGCTGGAATAGCTGCCCAGAGCTGTGGATGCCCCGTCCCTGGGGGTGTTCAAGGCCAGGTTGGATGCAGCCCTGGGGAGGTTGGTGGCCCTGCATGTGGCAGGGGGGTTGGAGATTCATGACCCTTGAGGTCCCTTCCAACCCTGTGATTCTGTGACCTCTGCCCCTGCGACTACTATGGCTGTCCTCCCAGCACAGACAGTACTTCAGCACCAAACAAATAGAAGATGCTACAGGCTGACTGCAATCCCTTACTCCTAACCCACCAGGATTTCTGCCTTTCTAGAACTGACCTGGACAATCCTCCTCCTGAAACTGTAGGAAGAATGGGTTTGCAACATGGCAAATGTTCCTTTATTTGAGGAAGACTGTCAAGAGGTTTCAGCATTGCTTGTGACTACAGCATGAAGGTAAGGCCTCAAGGAATAGGTCCCAATGGCCCAGCAAAATAAATAAAATCAGACTGCTTAGAGCTAGAAGGTTTGTGATACAGAAATGGACATCACTGAAACTAGGATAGTATGTGCTAGAGATACACACGAAAAGACAAGTTCAGTTTCATCTCTCAAAATACTGGGCCATCGTATCATTCCAGAACCATTTCCCAGGTTTGCAAAGCCCATTTCTTCTACACACCACATATAGCATGCAGACACATTGCAAACAAATCCTAGCATCACAGCAGAACCATAAGCAAGTGCTCTCTGTCTCACTATCCACTCCAACCAACACCTGCTCAGCTTACTTGTTTTTAAGGCTGATAAGAATTATTTCATCTGCACAGACCAAGCTGAATATCAATTTCCAGACTACCAAACAGATTTCCTCTAGAAGATAAACAAATAAACCCTACACAACTCACTTTAGCTTTTGTTTCTTCTTTTTCAGCATTCTCATTCAGTTGCTGGATTTTGAACCTTGTCTGTTGGATTTCCTTGTGAATTGCTGTCACTTTATCATATACAGCACCCCTCTTTTCCTGAACTCTGTTAAAATATCTAAAGGAGGGAGAAAAAAAAAAATTAGTACTGAACCACTCAGCCAATTCCAGATTAAGCTTAACCCCCCCCCCAAACTTGTATTTAATTAGCATGCCAAGTGCAGTTTCTAGAGACAATACTGCAAAGAGTTTACTTGCTCTGAAAGTACAATTAGGAAACGTGGATATTTGTCTAATCCTTCATCTGGAATAGTATAGATACGAAAAACAGAATTCAAAATGAAGTTACAGGGATTCACTGAAGCCCCTCCGTTGCTGTCAATCAAAACTGCAATTACTCCAATAGAACTGACTCAGCTGAAGCCTGCAGATAGCTGGACACTCCATCTTTGAGCCTTTGTAGAACACATGTAGAGAGCCTGGGCTGAAGGCCAGCACAGGCTTAGGACCCAATGTAGGAGTCTGAAAGCAACACAGTTGCATTTGGTGTTTCAGCACAATTGAAAGTCACATTCTCCTCAGCCTCAGATCCCCATATTCCATCCACCTGTGAACATTATTTCCAAATCCTTCCAAGCTTGCAGGTGAATTTAGCTAGCTCCAGCTGTAAGCTGCCATGTAATCAGCAGTGTTACTGTGGGAACAGGAGATCTGCAGAAAACACTTAACACTTTATACTATTTGCACAATAATTACAGTTGGAACTGTAGCAGCTGCTTTCTCTGAAGATTGGGCTGAAATCATTCAAACTTACTGAAAGCATATTTATATCTTTCTACCTCAAGGGAACAGTGAGGACACATTTTCTTACCCACCAGTGAAAACTTGTTTCCAAATCAAGGCAACCTCCCTTTCTCTCTTTCTTATCAAAGCATCTAATTTAAATACTCAAGGGAAATATCTAACATTAGAAACAGATAAATTGGCAGCAACATTTAGTACAGAGGAGCATTAGGCTATTATTTTCATTCTTTAATTAAAAGCTGCTTTTCCTTCCAATCTCCCTTTAGCTGATAGTGCCCTACATGAAGAGCAGAGGCCTAGGAATCTTGCTGCCTTTCTTCATGATGGTGACTTAGACTCCACTCTCACTGATTTGGAGAAAAAAAAAAAAAAGCTTTCTTCCACCTTTTTTAAGCAACCCCAGCCAGTAATTTTCCACATCCCTTTTCCTATTAGTGTACAAAAGCATTATATAACGAGCTTTCTTTACCACAGTTCAGCACAGTGAACATCAGGGAAGCCATGACCTTACAACACCACACTCTGCTACTGCAGAAGTGACTGCTGTGTGTAAACACTGCTCTGCAACTTGCCTTTAGCATACAGTAGAAAGAGAGATGGGCTAAGAGGCTTTGATCAAATGACACTTTTCCTTTTGTTTTAGAAGCATCATGTCAGGATAATGCTCCTCTGAGATACGAGCCCCATTTCCCCATGGGTCTTGAACATCTTTGATAATGAGCAAAAGTGGCAAGGGAAATTATGAAAAATTCATGAAAGGCAAATGGGGCTTTGTTGAAGTCTGATAAGTTAGGAAATTATCCCAATGTGACATTCTCTTTAAGAAGATAAAAGAATCAAGAATAAGCATTATAAATTAAATTAGCGATCCAATAAAAGAATTGCTGTCAAGTCACATTGCAATTATTGATTTGAGACCCCAACTCCCTGCCTGCAGCACTACTGGTCTTCATACCAAGCTATCCCACATCACTCATTTTCCTCTTAGCGCTAAGCTACATGTTTGTACCAGCACATAACGAAGACATAGAGCAGCAGCAAGCAGGAATATCAACTCATCCTTACTCAAATACAGTGTGCTTATATTGCTCAACATCTTCACGCTTCTTTTTTATCCTTATTTCAGCTGTAGACAGCCTCTCATGCTTCGCAGTGACCAGTCTCTTCAGGGACATTTCATCCGTCTTCCCTTTCTTCAGCTCGATTTGAGCACTCTCCAGCTGGTCTTCCAGATTTCTGACCTGCAGTATGTAAAAAGCATTGAAATAAACCAAAGTGGGGGGTATAAGCAGAATGATAAACCATATTATCATCATGATAAATCATTATATACCAATTATAACCGATTATATAATGATAAACCATGTTAGAAGTTCCCTAAGATCAGAACAGTCTTCCTGCTTTTTAAAGATCTGATAGCTGACCAGCTTTCCTTACTATCTCCCAGTTTATCTAATTAGAAATACATCAGAATGAACAAATTACTATTTGTATCATTTTTAGAAGCTACTTTGAGCTCTGCTGTAGCTCTTAGGCTATGGTTTTATGAAAATGTCATACAAATAACTTAAAAGACTATGCTGTTTTTTCCCTAAATGCTCTTAACAACTCTATTCTCAGTTTAGTAGTAACTAGCAAGGTACTTTGTGACAAGCACTTCAGCAGAAGTTTAGCATAGTACATCAATAAACTAAAACCTTGAGAGATAAAGTAATCTTGAAGTAACAGTTTATTTGCTCTAGTTTCAGCTCTATATGCAGAAGAGAACATCTCACTTCCATTCTTCTTCCATCATTTCCTTCTATCAACCCCCAGATAACAATTTTAGGTCAGGTATCTATGGCAACAAAGCTTGAGACTATTAAAAGTGGCCAAAAGGACATTAGTGGTACCCAGCAAAGCAGCAGCTATGTTTTACTGATGTTTCCATAATGAGGTTTTAAAGTGATCCAAATTCTTTCTTTTGTGAGCAGACAGGAGAAGAGAGCAGATGTTTACTAATGACTCGACTAACTGACTTGACTAACTGACCTCGACTCAGACTGACATTAAAAGTTCTCCCTAACCAAGTTTAACTTTGGTAATACAAACCTCTGCTAATACACTGGCCAGTCTTTCCACATTTGCTGCCTGTCTTTCCATCTTCTTCTGATATAACTGCACCTCCAATTGGCACGATGGCAGAACTTCAACCAGGTCTCGATAACCTTCGTATTTCTCAATAACCTCTTGCTTTAAAAAGAAAAAGTATTAATAGGGGAGTTCAGCAGTTACTGTCAACGTTGTACTGTGTATATTGACTTCTGCCCATTTCTTTCTTGCTAGTATTTGGACAACCTGGTCTAGTGGAAGTTGTCCCTGCCTATGGCACAGGGGAGTGTGGAAATAGATGATCTTTAAGTATAAGTCACTCAAAAACTAGTTTAAAACAATGGAAGTTCAGTAAGATGCACTTTTAAAGTTTAAAATCTCCTCATGTGAAGGAAAGGAAAAGCAAATCTCACCTTGGATTTCTTGAGTTTCTTAACAGTCTCCTTCATTAGTTCCTTATAATTCTTCAATTCCTCTGGGCTCTCCACAATTTTTGATTTCAGCTGCTCTTGTTCTTCTTTCAAAGTAGCCATTGTCACTTTAAGCTCATTCTAGTTACAAGGACAAGAGAACTTTGGGTCATTTAAGTTGCCAATTGCAAAGAGGAATTGTGAAGCATAGTTTGCATGATCTCACGACCAGACAAATTCTTTTCTCTAAGTCATTCCTTCTTAGGAAGTCCTTTAAAAAAAAAATTCCTGTGAACATCAACATTCTCAAAACAATTAACAGTCCACTCTGCTCCCTGAGCACACTCAGTGGTACAGCACTGAGTTGTAAGAACAGTATTTAACCCAGTGCTTCACAGAACACCTGCCAGCTAAAACACATGGTAAGCAGCTCTCTCCTTCAGAGCCCCTCACTTAAGGCAACTCAGGCAGTCACTGCAGGGTTTCCAAGTCAGCTGTGATGCTCACGTGGAAGAGCACCACACTTCCCATGGCATGAAAGTGAAGCAGTTCTTGAAAGATGAAAAAACACAACTAGTAACCACATGAACATTAACTAGCTCCGAGAATAATCTAACCTTACAAAGATTATCTATTAATTGAATTAACAAGCTACAGCCTACACAGAGATGAACTCACCAGTTTTCTGGTCCTCTCTGTAATATCTGACTTCTTTTGTGAAATCACTTCTTGCAATGCTGCCTAAGGGAAAAGAAAAAAGAAAAAACAAATTGAAATAAAATTGAAATAAACATCTCTACAGCTACTGCCTCCTTTGTCCTTCTATTAGACACGTATATGAGATCTCACTGATTGTTTCTTCGGTGCACCAAGACTAGAATACAAAATTGCAGCCTAATTGCACTAACAGAAGGCCCTCCAACTATAGAAGTCAAGCCCACGGTCAACAGTATTCATGGCAGAAACTTGACTTACAGTAACATCCAAAAAAAAAAAAAAAAAAACCTAACCACATTCTTTTTCTCTCTCTCCAACACAGCTGAAGAGGTCTATGAGGTCTTAAGGGCAAGCCTGCCATTGCTGGGCAGTTATCCCATCCTGTGATCGACCTTGCTGTTTTTGTTAGCCATTCCATTGGGTGACCTTCCTAAGGCCTCCTGTCACCTGCCATGGCTCATCTCCAGTTCTCATTCTTAAAATTCAGGAGCAAGAAAAAACAAGAACTTACAGGGAACAACAATAAGTGGATCTTCCAAGTCATGGCAATAACTTATTTCAAGAAAGAACCAAATACATTTCTGTGTTCTCTAAATCTGATTTCATGCGTGTTTTACATTCCTTACAGGTAATGCTAGAGATTAGACAGGACTTAGTGTTGCAATAACCACTTATGATTTAAATCTGAACACCCTGCTTTATTCTCTGTACGAGACAAGGAACAAAATAAAAATCAACAGAAATAATGTTGATCAGAAGCCTTGGCACCAGTTCAGAGAAATACACAAAGAGATCATACTGTTTTCCGACGATAGTCATGGCTTAGAAGTTGCTCCAGTTCTTGAATGTCATCCGACAGTTGCTTGAATTCTGCTTGCTGTTCAACTGGAACAGTGCTAAGCAAAAAAAATAAAGACATTAGACAGGTCCAGCATCACCATAATCAGGTGAGAGTACAACAAATGAAACAGTGTTTCTCCAAAGGCTTTACAGCCAGCAACATCATGGATCAGGTCGAAACAGTCTCAAATTAATACAGCTTATTTCCCTGGGCTTATAAGCCTTTGTAGGCAAAACATCATCTAAAGAGCAATTTCAGAAATAAGTGGTACAGGTTAAAGTAGGACCATATATTTAATGATAGCATTAAATACAAATGGGCATGAAAGAATACTTCCACCAGTTTTGCTTGGAAGTACGAAACCTGCATATTGTGATGTGCCAGAGGAACAGCTCATATTGAGATACAACTATAGCTAGCTAGAGATCCTCCTGCCTTGCACATATCGAGAGCAGTTATCAGCAAAGAAGCTTTTGGTTTTGAAAGCAATCTTGGGAGCTAGCCATCTTTTTAGCCTGTTACCTACAAGCAAAACAAACTTAATGGGACAAAGGTGTAGACAGTGCAACTCAACTGCCTAAAACAGAGAATAGGGCAAATCTGTCAAATAACTGAGGAATGCTGCTTCACCCATCCATTAAGTTAAAGACCAACTTCCTAGAGCTATAGAAACAATAAAAGACAGATGACTAAACAAACTATAACATCAAGTTCCTCTTTAGTCTCCCCAATATACAAACCAGAGTATCTTCTCAAAGCAACTACACAGACCCAAAGCCACACTTATTTCCTGCCAGCAGCCTTTCTAGCTTAATGCCATCAGAACTGCCTCTGTAACCAAGTGCAACACAAAGACATCTCTATACTTTCTGCTTTATTTCCCAACGAGGCTAACCAGCAGCAAACTTAGACAAGTGCCAAAGGAGAAGTGAAGCCTGCTCAAATTAAAGGCTCCTAAAGGAACAGAATTGGGCATATAAATATTTTTTTCCTTATTATATATAATAATATATATATTTTCTTCTCTATAATACATGTGGGTGCATGTGATGAGGGCTCAAAATGGAGGAGAAGCTAGTCAGATGAAAAAACAATAAATAAAAACAGGCTACAAATTCCACTCCCATTAACAAAGATTAATCAGTGTCTCGATTTATTACACCTACACACTTAGATTCTGCCACCTATAGCATTCTAGTCTCACAAAAAAAGAAATCATATTACTGAACACAGTCACATCTCTTATAGACAAAAAGGAATTTTATCTGCATCAGACAGAAAGATCCTGGGACCTTCAGTCCTCATACTCACTTTAGCTTCTCCAGCTTCATTTCTAACTCCTGATTTGCTGTCTCCAGTTGTTGGTGTTTCTCCATAGCAGATTTCTGCAAGTTAAACATTCAGAACTTTTTGTTTCAGAGGAGTAGTTTCTCTTGAGTCCTATGAGGCCCCTGCTCATCATTTCACATGACATGCACGATCTCTGAACTACTGAGATATTCAGAGAGAAACCACCTGCAGTTCTAGCTTCAAGCCAACAATCACTACATCTATATTTTCTCCAAACAATTGGAGATGTCAAACCTTCACTTACAAGGCTGAACTACCAAATAAAACTGGGGAAAAAAAAAAAAAACTTCAGCTGACAGCTAAAGTAGTAGCTCAGCCATGGTACCAAGCAGAAACCTTTACAATGTCAACAAGCCCAGCCACTCATTCTTCTGAACTGACATGTTTCCCTAAGGGCATTGCAAAGTTCTACATGGAGCCATTTACAGTAGTTGTATTTGATGTGTAATGTAGCTGTACAAGAATTTTTAGCAAACGGGTACCTGCTTGTATTAGCTATATTTAAGATTCTCACATCACTTTAGGACGCTGTTGAAAAAACACAACCTTTATGTTCCCAATTGTAGGTTAGCATTAAGTAACTTCAGTAAGAGTGTGGAAAAACAGCATCAGACTTACATAGCTCAGCTGCAACTCCAAGTAGGCCTCGCGTCGGCATTCTCTGAAATGCACAAAGTTGAGAATGCCGCTCAAGAAGCGAGCTGTCCTCTTTGCCTCTGAAATGGAAGTTACAAACCATTACTACTTCTGTCCCTGCACACATTGTAATTGCTTAGAGAAAACTGGGCAAAGCATAATTTGGAGGAGAGACAGAAACTGCAAGAGAGAATACGTATTAGCTCTTTCCCTGCTCACCTTGCAAAGATTTCACAGGCTGCAAGAAAAGCAGCCATGAGCTTAATGCCAGATCTCAGCAATCCTATGCTATGTAACAAATTAAGAAAATGGCACCTAATAGAAAGATTAATAAAATACAGCCTCACTGTGTTATCCTACTAAAGGAGTAAGATGGAGAACCATCATTAAGAACCATCTGTAAGGTCAGATGAGTAGCTGGTGGGCAGGGATAGATCTCCATAATAGTTGCCCACCTGACTAGGTCACACAAAAGAGCCTAGATAACAAGCAGTGGCCACCAGCCCAGGAAACACAAGGCTTACAGTGCATTGGCTTACTTGGATTTATAACATCAGAAATTTGAAAATCATTAACCCGGCACACTGGAAGGAAGCGCTCCCTGCAAAGAAACAAAACATCTTCAGTGATTACTACACAGTTTTTGCACTATATACACAGACTAAAACCAGATAATGTCCTCTCATTGCAGAGCACATGCACAGCAAGCACACAGCAACAATAAGCCTCAGGAGAATAATACAGTAAGACTACTGTGCAGATCAGCATTAAAAACCTGTATTCTTACAGCATCTCTTAGGATTTCTATGAATACTCACCTGCAGAGCAGCTTAAGAAATTCCTTCACTTAACTGAGGGAATCAATTCTGCCATTAAAACAAAAATGAAGCTACAAGTGTAACACTCACATCATTTCAACAGATACATCTAAACAGAATTCAGACAAGTACCTAAGATCCTTCTGTCAGGTGCAATGGTGAACTTCAACTCATTAGAAGCACTGGAGTTTTTTGTTGTTTTACTTTGTTTTTTTAAATAAAATTATCCTCCACACAACTCAACTATATGTAGCCTCCTAACACATTCATTTGCCTGCTTGGAATTAAACTCCATTACCACACTGCTGTCGCCTGTTCACCTGAAAACTTTGTTTTGCTCAGAGACAAGTAGTGGAACCAACCACCAGAGGCACAGTACCCCACTGCTTCTAGTAACTCCCTATAAACATTCCATTAAAAAGTGCTATCTTGTACTTACATATGAATATACAGATTACAAACAGGTAGAAAGCCTTCAAATATCTGTGGATACACTATATCAACGTTGACTGGCATCTGAAAAATAAAGAGAGCCAATACATAACCAGAGTGCATTCATGGGAGAAAACACAGGTTTGATCCCACAGCGTAAGCTCATTAGAATTAGTTGAGGACTGTCTTCCATCCGAGGTGGACACAAGTCAAGAGGCTATCAAGTAAGCAGATGAATCATAGAATGGCCTGGGTTGAAAAGGACCACAACGATCACTGAGTTTCAACCCCCTGCTGTATGCAGGGTTGCCAGCCATGAGACCAGGCTGCCCAGAGCCACATCCAGCCTGGCCTTGAATGCCTCCAGGGATGGGGCATCCACAGCCTCCTTGGGCAACCTGTTCCAGTGCATCACCACCCTCTGGGTGACTATCAGGAATCCATTACTGTCTAGCAGAAACAGCAGATAAATGAAGTGTTAATCAGAAGGATATCAGTTAGCCTAGACCACCAACTGCCCCTCACCCTGCTTTCCTCTCAATTAACAGAGTAGAGGTGATTAACATTAAAAGCACCATTTGCTTCCCCTCTAACCCAGTCTAAAGGTCCTTCTAAGAGACCCTCATCCATCCATGGTCAAAGCCAGATTCCCAGGAAGCCTGTATGTTTTTTTTACAACATATATAAACATTTATTACAATATACACACACACACACACATATATATATATGCATATATAAAAAAAGAAGAGTATACCACTTGCCATTTTCTAGTAAGGTGATAAAAGGGAGATTTGACAGCATTTCACGGGGAAAGCACAATTCTTTTCTCCTTTCGCATCTCCTTACCCCCTGCCAATGCATACGTACCATGTAGAAGTGCTCCAGGCGGATCCCATACACTTTCTGCAGAATTCTTATGAAAATCATGTGCAAAACTTCAGGCTGAGGAAGCAAAGGGCACAAATCAGCATTGATGAGGACAACAAAGCAGTTCTGCCTTTTAACACGTGAAAAGCAAATTCACCAAGACAAAAACAAGCTTTCCTTTCCGGCTCCTTGCAGCTCAAGCATTAAAATACAGCTAAAGGAACAGCAAGCAGCTCTGCTAACGAATACGGCAGTGCCTTAACACGAGGCTTTCTGGTCACGGGGCGCGCAGCGCAGCCCCACAGCACGGCGGGGGCCCTCACACACCTTGAGGGTGGCGAACAGGTCGGCCTTGGTGAGGTTGCGGGCTTCGGCTCCCACCAGGACGTGGCTGCGGAGATAAGCGACAATATCATCCGGGCTGTAGCGGGGAAAGGTCAGCGCCTCCATCACGGCACCAACCGCCGCTCCGCGCGCCGCTTCAATCTGGCGGGCGCGCCGCGCGCGTCACGCATCCGCCCCGCGTTGGCCTATCAGCGGCGGCGCTGGCGGGAGGAGGGCGGAGCTTTGCCAGGCTCCGCCCCCTGGCGGCCGTTAGCCGTTAGGTGGCGGGGCCGGCTGAGGAGCTGGGGGGAGTGGCGGGAAGGGCGGTGGCTGCTCGGCTGGCGCTTCGCGCCCGCAGCTGCGTGACGGCTACCGGCCTGCGCCGGGAAGGCGGGTCCGGGGCTTGCATCCGCTCGGCAAAGCCGAAAGGAGCGGTGGTTTGAAAACTTTGGTTGGCCGGAGAGCTCTCAGAGTGGCGCCCGGCTGCTGGCATCGCAGCTACGGTGGCGTAGCGAGGCGCTACTCCGCCCTTCTGCGCGCAGAGAGCCGCGAAGCTGGGCTCGGCTTCCAGCCGGGCAGCCTGCCAGCCAGTCAGGTGAGTCGCCGATGTAGAGCACGTCCCAGCGGACACCCGTCTCCTCAGCGTCTCCTGCCGCGGTCCCCCGGGGGCTGAGCGGTGCGGGAGCGGCGGGCCATGTCTCCCGCAGGTAGATGGCGGCCCCTGGGCCTCGTGTTCCTCTTGGGGATGGGGATGGCATCGGGGAATAGCGGCTGCCCGAGTGGGTGCAGCTGTCGGTACCTGGAGGTGAACTGCACCGGACGGCAGCTGCAGGAGTTCCCCGCAGCCATCCCGCTGGACACGAGGCAGCTGATCCTGGCGGCAAACAACGTCTCGTACCTGCCGGCGGTGGAACTGAGCTTCCTGGCGGATCTGGTGTACCTGGACTGCCGGAAGAACCTGTTGGGAGATGACCTGGATTTCACTTTCGTTGGTGTGGTCAAGCTCGTCTACCTGGACCTCAGCTTCAACAACCTGACGCAGGTCACCTTCAGCACCTTCTCACAGCTCCTCAGCCTGGTTGTGTTGAAGATCTCGGACAATCCCAACCTTGTAGCAATAGAGAAGGATGCTTTTGCCAACAACACCTGGCTGAGGCACCTGGATGTGAGCCGGACTGGTTTAACATTCCTAGATGCCAGCACCGTCCAGGTCCTGCCCAACCTGAGGATTCTGGGGCTTTCTGACAACCTGTGGCACTGCAACTGTTCCTTTTTGGACTTCATCACCTGGATGACAGAGAGCAGAGTTCATTTTCCAGGTGAGGGCTGTGTGAGCAGGATTCCTCTCCTCTCCGTTCTGTTCCTGGGTGGAATGGACAGGACCCTCTGATCTCTTTTCATTCAGCTCATTGGGGCAGCGCCACTGCCTGTCAGCCACGCATCTCACCATCAGCTGTTGCACAAAGCACTGATCAGAGCAGCAGGGCTACACACTTTCCACCCTCAGTCACACTTGCTCACATCCTCAGGACAGTAGGGGAGGTACAAAACACCTGGCAGCAGGCTCAGGAGGTATCACTGTGCCTATGAGTCACAGCACCCTGCCGCCACAATGCCAAGAATGAGCAGCTGGCTCAGGGCAGATATGCTCCGGGAAAGCTATTTCTCTGAATGTCCTGCCTTTTCTCCATCTGCTCTGATCTTCTGTTGCTGTTGCAGTGTTGGTGTGTCTGTAGTGGCCAATTAGTCCCCTTTGTGATCAGTAGAAATGCTTGCAGTGCTGGTCTGTTCCTCTCTCTCCTCACCTCCCTGGAACAGCCCCTCCAGCCCTGAGCTCTCCATTGTTGATCCTGTCCCATTAGCTCAAATACTGCCTGTGTTCAGAAAGGAAAGCCAGCATCTATTATCTCACAGCCTGCACTGGAATTTGACAGGACATAGGCAGTATTTCCCTGGAACTGAATCATTCCTGAGTTTCCCCTCTCTCACAGTTGCAGGTGAAACTGTGCCTAATTGCAAACCACTCCAGTTTCCAAACTTGACTCCCAGTGTGCAAGCCTTATGGCTCTAGTCTAAAAAGACCTCTTTCCCTTTAGCCTTGTCACTTAAAAAGGTGTTTGAGGCTTTAAAATAATGACAAATGCTCTTATATTGAAACAAAAGTGCTCGATCAGCAGAGATGAACAGCACAGCTACTGCAGTTTGTCATAATCCAAACAGTGCCATAATAATCCAAACAGAAATATTTTCCTTGGAGGCACTGCCACGGAAATCATTCTGGCAGGCTGGTGGTTGTGGCTTGGCCAAACTCTGGCTGATTTCTCCTAGGCTATGAAGGGAGAAGGACATGAAGCGTGGAGAAATTTTCCAGCAGTTTAGCAAACTCCTCCATCACTCTTCTAGCAGTGATGTTTCCTGCTCACTAGTGTCTTAGACACAGGCAAAAGAGTTTTGCTTTGCTTTTTTCCTCTGCAGACGCCAACAACATCACCTGCTACACACCAGAAGCCCTTCGTGCCTTGAAGATGCCTGCAGCAGAGGTACAGCTGTACTCCAGCTGCCAGACCCACCTGCACAAGCACGACTACATCTTTCTGTGTTTCATTGGCTTCTGCATATTCTTTGCTGGCACTGTGGTGGCCTGGCTGGCTGGCATCTGTGCCGTCATCTACCAAATCCACAGTTCAAAGGAGGAGGAGGAAGAAGAGGAGAAAGATGCAGCCACTTAGGGTCAGCCCTACAAACCTTTCCGGATGCTGTCCTGGGAACTGAAGGCAGGCCCTTCTGAGTGATTTCCCAAACTTTATACGCAAATTTTTTGAAGTGAAATAAAGCCACAAGAGAAGATATTCTCTGTGCTCCAGTTTTACTCACAGTGCCACCGCTGCGTTTCTTCTTCCAGTGAGACTCAGGACTTTGGCAAAATGTTCAGTGTGAGCCACAGGAGGTGTGGACAGTGCCATGCAGCAACCAGCAGCATTTACAATCCTGCTTTCTCACGAGACCACGGAAAAGCAGGGCCAGCATGCAGCCTGTCCTGCCACAGGGACAGGTCCCAGCAGCCAGGGAGCTCACCAGGGCCTTTTTGGCCACACTGGGGCAGCCTAGATAGCTTACTTCTGCTACAGGGAATCTGAGAGCCTCTGCTGTGGAAAGGCAGAACAGAGAGGTTCAGAGCAGGTCTTCTGTGGGCCTGGGATCCCACTGGGTCCTTCTTGCTTCTCCATTCTACCTGTTACAGCAGAAGACACCACCGGTCCCCCTGTACCTCCACTGGACTGTGAGCATTTACAGAACCAAGTTTTGTGTCACATAACCCTAGAAGTGACTTTATTTTGAATGTAAGAAATACCTCTCACATGCAATCCAAGTGTTCTTGGAGATGGCTTGTGTTTCCGTCCCAAGTCCCAGGGCTGCACGTTCAGGGCAGAACAAAGGGAGGTGTAAATAAGATCCTTCATATCACTAGCACAGGTAATTGCCAGGAGTGGTGTCTGCTTACTTGAACAAGTGCAGTGGCTGCACGTGTGAAGCATTGGCTTCTCATCCGAAACCAGCTGGATCTGATGGAGGAAAAGGGAAAAGCGGGATTTTAGCAGGCACGATACAAATTAATACGCCGTTAATACAGCCATTAAACTGCGGCAGGTCTGCCGACCGCGAATCAAAGCTGAAATCCTAGGACCACAGAATAGTTTAGGTTGCAAGAGACCTTAAAGATCCTCACCCCATGGGCTGTCTGCTCCCAGCTCAGCTGCTCGGGGCACATTAATGGCGTGGGGGCACCTCCAGGGATGGGGCACCCACACCTCCGGGCAGCAGCGCCGGCGCTTTTTATTATTTAGAGTGCATGGCAGTAATAGGAAGGAACACGCAGCAGACAAAACGCGCCCTCGCCCCCATACGAAGTCCCGCCGTTCTCCCCCGGCCAATCCCCCTCTCGCAGCCCGGCGCGGTGCGCCCCGCCTGGGGGCGCGGCCAGACCAGGCCCGGCCCCGCTCCGCCCCGCGGCGTCCCGGGCTGCTCTGCGCCGCAGGCTGTGGTGAGTGCGGGCCGGGCTGCTGCCGCGGGGCGTAGCGGAGCTTCCGGGAGTTCGGTAGGCTGATGTCTGAGCGTGGTGAAGTGGGGGAAAAATAGAGCCGGTGCGGGGGAACTCCCCCCCCCCCCCCCCAGGCGGGACAAAGGGCTCTGCAGGCTGGGTTGGAAGGCTGGGCTGGTGGTGCGATCAGAACCCGAGCGTGGCTCTGCATGGGGAGGCTTCGTTAGCTCTGCTGATTCATAACAGTTGCGATTATAGTTGGTTACGTATGAATATAGGATTAAAGTGCCTACAGGAAAGCTGGGGAGGGACTTTTTATATAAAAAGGCAGGAAGCGACAGGATGAGGGAAAATGGCTTTAAACTGGAAGACGATAGATTTAGACTAGGTATGAGAAAGAAATTCTTTACTGTGATGATGGTGAGACACTAGCACAGGTTGCCCAGCGAGGTTGTGAATGCCCCCTCCCTGGAACATTCAAAACCAGGCTGGATGGGGCTGCAAGCAACATGGTCTGGTGGGAGGCATTCCTATCTACAGCAGGAGGGGTGGAACTAGATGGTCTTAAAGGTCCCTTCCAACCTAGACCATTCTGTGATTCTATATGCAGCAAACCTGGGAAGAATTGTTGCTGGGAGCACTTTTGCATTCCTCAGCCTGTGCTGTGTCATGCTCCGGTGTCCCTCGGCTGTGTGGGTCCAGCCTGAGCCATTGCTGCGTGGAAGATAAAAATTGAGGCTTGTGCAGGGCAGTAGTACTTGTCAGCAGAGTCCTTGCAGCTGTGGACAAAGGTTGCTGAGCTGCAAAAGCATCAGGAAGCAGCCACAAGGCGTGCAGGCAGGGAACTGAAAGTCATGATGACTTTGATTTGCTTTAGCTTCAGGTTACGGGAGCACAGGCTTACTGTTTGGCTTTAGATCAGTAGCACGAGTAGCACTCTGTAACATCTGGCTTAATGCTTACTGCAACCAAACGGTGCTTTTTGCTACCAACATAAAAGATAAAATCCCAACTTACAGCTTTATGAAAGCAAAAGGCTTTGTCCTTGCTGCTGAGGCCAAGGACAAGCCTGGAATGTGAAGGGGGAAGTAAAACAACTGACCTGTTCTGCCAGGTCAGGGAATGTCC